CTTTGTCCAAAATGGCACATAAACCTCAACTGTCTGATGCAGTGGGTCTCATTTCTTCTAACATCTTGCATGTATATCTGTAATAAACTTTGGATATTTTCTCTTGTTAATCTATATTCATTAAATTTGATTATTAGCCCAGCTAGAAGAACTTAGAAAGTGGGAAGAAAGTTTTCTTTTGTGTGCCCCCGCAACATAATATATATTTTATTTTATTTTATTTTGTTTGTTTATTGTTTCCCCATTAGACTACTGAGCTCTATGAGAGCAGGGACTTTGTCTTGTTCACCACTCTATTCCCAGCATTTAGCACAGTGCTGGTATACAGCAGGTGCTCCATAAATATTTGCTGAATGAATGAGTGCAGATTAAATGAACATCTGCTCTGTCCTTATGGCTTCAGGGGCCTTCAAGGCCCTCCTGCCCTCCTGCCCTTTCCCTGGCCACCTGCTCAGTGAACAAACCTCCTTCTTCAGGGAACAAAGCCCAGGCTGATGGCACTAATCACTGCCAATGATTCTGAATATATAACAATGGGGCCAGCCCTTTGCTAGACTCTTTGGTACACATTATCTCATTAAACCTCAAAACAATCCAAGAGGTGTACCATTGTGGTCCCTAGTTTACAAGGGATGAAACTCAGGCACAGAGAAATTATATGGCTTGTCAAGGTCATGCATGGAAAGTGATAGGATCAGGATTTGAACTGAAAACATTTGAATCCAGAGTCCTTGTTCTTAACCATAATGCCAAAAATATGGCTTTCTAGAGAGGAGACCCAGAGCCTGACTTTTACACCAAGCAAATCACTAACTCATTTCAAAACTTGAGTGCAGGCTCGTGAGAAAGCAGAGGACACAGAGCTGGGGCATAGACACAGAAGGGAGGGATGGCCTTTAAGGCCTAGTTTGCCTTCCTCGCTCCCCATTCTGGGATCCCCAGATCCTGACAGCCTGGGAGGAATCCCACGCCAGATCGCCAGATCGTCTGCCACTAATTGGCTTAGCAAACTGTGCTTATCTGGGTAAAGCTGGAGCCCAGTGAATTCAAGATTAAGGGAAGCAGGATTCATGGCTTACCGCTCCGCTGCCCACAGGGTCAGAGGAGACAGGGTTATGACTTTAATTGGCTTAACAGCCCTGAGTGGCTTAATAGCTCAGAGGGTTGGGGTAGGGGGGCAGAAAGAGAAGAAAACAAAGGTCGATGTCCTACCCATAGCCAGCTTCATGTTCTACCAAAAAATCTGTGTGCTCTTCTCTCGGGGGTCAATCTGTCTCTGTACATGGGCATTGCTCTGTGACACTCCCAAAGCAGAGCTTGGGCTTGGGAGTTGGGCAAAGCTGGGTTGGTACTTCATCTCTCCCCCACTTTCTTAGTGGGTGACCTTGGACAAGTTACTTGACTTCTCTGAGCCTCACTTGCCAACCAAGGGCAGTTTCGAGGTAAAGCAAGATCACGTACCTGGAGCACCGCACGTGGGAACAGTTGGGACACAGTGGGTGCATGGTGTCCATGAATTCATTCTCCTCTTCCTCCTCAGAGCCCCATTTGTGTTTAAATTAATACCAGCACCCATTTTGCAGGGTTGTTTGGAAATAGCATAAGAAAGAACCTTATCAATTGTGAAGTGCTAGACCAGAGGTCACAAAGATGACAGGCCTACAAATGTGTTTCCTTTGGTTGACACTATTTTTAAAAATCTTAATTAGTAGTTGAAAATTGGAAGAATTCACACAAAAATCCCAATTTCCCATTTCTCTTGAGAAATCAAGACTTGACAAAACTGGGTCCACAATTTCTCATGGAACCGTCGGCTAGAGTTAGGTAGTGGTTTCCCCTTCTCTAGGGCACTGCTTACCCCATAATATCCTCTTAACTGACACCCATGTACTGACACAAGTCTGTGTCACCTGGCTCCTCAAAATATTTAAGCTTTTGACACAGCATTGTACAAATATGAGGAGTTGAAAAATATCTTTATGATTCCAATTATTTTATTCAGAATTTGGAGCATGGGATCAGAAGGTGAATGACTGCCTGGTCTCCCGGTTTTGATACTGGAGGGCTCAGACACACATCTCCTTCCTCATTACCCCAGGTTCCACCACTCAGAACATCTGCACCAAGTACAGTGAACCTATTCACTGTGGGAACATTTCATGTGGTAAGCAAATGTGTTGTGCCAACATTGCTTAATTTCTAGGAATGCAGCCCTGCTGGCTTCTCTATACCTTGTCTAGATTATCTTCCATTTAGCCAGACCCTCAGCCATCTTAGAAGCCAAAGCTTTTGAGACAGGAGCCCAGAGGCTTTAGCTCTGATAATTAGACTAGAGTTAGAATTCCAGAAAAGAGAAGGCTCTTAAGGTTATCAAATCTAATATTCTCATTTGACATACAGGGAAACTGAGGCCCAGGTGTGGGAAGAGCCTTGCCCAAGGTCACCTAGCAAACTAGTTACAAACCCTGATGAAGACGTAGGTCTCCTGATCCACTGCTCTCAGTCCAGCACTTCCCCCACAATATACACTGTCTTCCCATCCTTACCCAGATAGCCCAACTCCCTCCCGCTCCTTTCACATTCTTATCTCAGTGCAGCAGAAGCCCTGACTTTCTATCATCCAGGAATCTTGGGAACTCGGACTCATAATTCTTTGAGCTTGGGGAACACGTTAGTGGCAGAACTGCAGGGTGGGTAAATTGAACTTGAGCTTCGAAGGCAGAGTCTTGAGTCCCAGCTATCCTACCCTTTAGCTGTGTGACCTTGGGCAAGGATGCCCCTTTCTGAGCCTCCATTCCCTCATCTGTTACGTAGGAATGATAATACAACCCATCAGAGGTGTCTTAGGAGGGATACAGGAGATGAAACAGGTAAAAAGGCAACCAATAGGCTTTGCACAAAGTGAGTGCTTAATAAAATAATTGTTATAGAACTGTAAATTAGGCCTCTCTTTCCCCTAAAGCTTGAGTGAAATGGTCAAGATGTGTTGAAGGGGACTGGAACCGGACAAATTGGAGCACATATACCCTGCCTAAATTGTTACAGGCCAAAAAACTGTTAGATTCCTTTTTTTTTTCCCCCCAATAGAAGCTAAGACTTTTGGATTTTTGAAATACTATACAAGCCAAACAAAATACTTCTGCAGGCTAGGTTCAACCTAAGGGCCATTCGTTTGTCATCTCTGCAAAATCATCTCATCCCAATCCCCTCATTTTACAAATAAAGGAGAGTGGAAATAGCTAGCCCTTTTATCTAAGAAGCCATGGAGCTCAATGGACCCTCAGCCATCTCCAGCCACTCCCCTGAGACCCTTATCTCCACCCCATGGTAATTTTTCTCACAGTTTGAGGGAAATTCAACTTATGTTCAAGAAAGAAGTATTAGTTTCTTGTAAGTAGATTCTGAACAAGTAGAAGAGGAGGGTTTGAGGTAGCCAGTGAGTCAAGGGGCAGTTGGCCCATTTTAGGCTGAAGGGAAAGGGGGACGAAGCTTTGGCTACCAAGAATAGGAAGTTACCATTTCAGAATCTAAAAATATCTTTCACCATCTGTCCACTCGGGCACAGAATGATAAATGCAGATTAGTTCCTGGATGTAGACATGAATATTTTTATGTGTCAAGCTAATAATAATAACACCCCTTTGTGTGGATACAACTCCACTCCCCTTTTCCCCCAGGGCAAGCTAAATGGAATATACACATCAATCTAGACAAGGCATTGATGGGGAAACCAAGGCAGAGAGATTCGACAACATAACAAGGGTGACACAGCAAGTGAGCAGCTGGGACAAACCCTGGGTGTCCTGTTTCTAACCCTCAGCCCAGAACTGAATCTTCTGAGTTAGACAGAATGTGTTAATAAGTAGCAGAATAAATATAAGAACAGCAATAATCACCTTTTACATCCTTACACTACTTTGACTTTTCCATGCTTTCCCCACGTTTGTGATAATCACGACAATCTATTACATTCCTAAAATACATTACAGTCTGCAGGGCCTTCACACAGACCTTCTCTCACCTGATCATCTCACTAGGTAAGAAAAATATGATGACAGACCAGTAGGAATTCTTCCACATTTCACAGGTGAGGAACCTGAGGTTTGGAGGGAGGAGGAGTTTTGCCTAAGATTACATAGTAGGTAAGTTCATTCAATCAGTGTACAGTAGAGCCTAAGCTACTACAGCAATCCTGATTCAAGGGGAATCCTAGGTTCATAATTCCCCATCTCCAATCAACTCAGCTCAGCTCAGCAGGCACCCTCAGTCCTGGCAGAGGAAGAAGGCTGGAAGTGGGCTGCTTATACAAAGACTCAGTTTTATCTTACTGTCCTGAGATTAAAGGACAGTTAGTAGCCATCTAATCTCAGATTCAAGATCCCAAATCCTCTTGGCCCCGTTGAGGCGTGTGTTTGGGGTGGGGCACTGGGGGAGTCCTAAGAAACAGGAGCCAGACGCCTTCTCAGCCGAGTCCAGCATACCCTTTCCCAAAAGTCTAAAAAGTTTGAGTGGGATATTTATTTAGCTGCCTCCATGTTTATCCTGGGAGGTTGGGAATGGATTGCAATTCTGAACTGAGAATCTTTGAGAGCAGGGAAGGACTTCTGAGATTTTTCCTAAACCCAGGCTCATCACTCAGGCAAAAAGGAGTGGTTCAGGGCTGGAGGGAGCCCTGGGGCCTTGTTCCAAGCTTCACACCCATCTTCATGAGCCCAGGGTCCTCCTCATTCTTACACCCCTGAGGATCTTTCTCTCTTTTCTTGCCCCATCCGCTCCACTCTCAATGGCCAGATCAGAGAGAATGGGGTTGGTCAGAGTTTGAGGGCAGAGGTCAGGGAGTAGCTGGCAGAGAAAAAAAATCAAAGCTGCAATAGGGTGGGGCGGGCGGAGGTCAGGACATGATGAGGGTCTGGAGAGGTCAGAGCAGGTCTGGGGCGGCAGGCAGCCCCTCGCCACCCCCACTCCTCATAGTCAGCTCCCTCCACCTGCACTTTTCCTACCTCCAGACCTGGCCGAGCTGCAGGAGGTGAACGAGGGTCTGCAGCAGCCAGACGCAGAGGCGGCAGCAGCGGCGGCGGTAGGCGCTGGCAGAGGAGGGCGCGGGCCGGGTACTCAGCTCCGGGCTGCCTTCTTTGGTCCGGAAGGCGACAGCGCTGTCCTTGGTGCTAATGGAGGGCCCGCCAGTGCCGCTGTCCTTGGTGCTGACGGCGGGTCCCGGGGTCCCCGCGGGCTCCGTGTAGTCGTAGACGAACCAGCGGAAGCTAAGCAGCTGCACTACAAGCGAGGGCAGGAGCACGAATAGCAACGTGAGGCCAAAGTAGGTGCGCTGACCCTGCAGGTAGTAAGAGGCTGCCAGCCACAGGTCCGTGGCGCCGTCGGAGAAGAACACCAGCAACGCGCACAGCACCCAGCAGCAGTCCCGCAGCTCGTAGCGCGGCCCCGAGCCTCCCGCTCCGGTCACTCCCGGGGTCCCGGCCACTGCCGCCGCCTCCCCGCGCCCGCCCGCAC